GCGGTAGTGTGTCCCCGCCGCCGCGCCGTCCGTCCCCATGGTAACGGGGCAGGCCGCGCCCGGCGCCATGGCGGCCGCCGGCAGCCCCAGCGTCTTCCTGCTGGCGGTCAACGGGCAGATCGAGAGCGGGCAGGTGAGCGGGAAGGGGGGAGCCGCTAACGCGGCCTTGCTTCGGTCGCCGGTGCCCTAAGGCGGCCCCGTCTCCGCCCGGAGGCCTGTAGGGCGGGCTGGGCCGCAGCCCCGACGCGAGCAAGGCAGGCTGCCCTCAGCCCCAGGCATTCCCCCCAACACGGCCTCTCTCCCTCACAGTTCCCCGGGTTCGACGATCTGTACTGCAAGTTCTGCTTCGTCTACGGCCAGGACTGGGTTCCCACCGCGGTAAGGCCCCACCGTGTGCCCCTCAAACCCAGCCTGCCAGCCGCGTGTGCTGGGCTCAGCGCAGGCCCCCGGCTCAGGCCACGTTCGCCCCACAGGGCCTGGAGGAGGGCATCTCCCAGATCACCTCCAAGAGCGACGTCTCGCCCACCACACTCGTCTGGAACTTCCCCATTGACATTACCTTCAAGAGCACCAACCCATCCGGCTGTGAGTGCTGGGGCGGGGGGATGCAGCTGGCGGGGCAGGCACCCCGCTCACACGCTTCGTTTGCAGGGCCGCAGATTGTCGTCAGCGTCTACGGACCTGACTTCTTTGGAAACGATGTGGTCAGAGGTTATGGAGCTGTTCACGTTCCCTTCACACCCGGAAGGTGAGGTGACAACCTGTCTTTCAGGACTGAAACAGAGATTTTTTTCCAGTTACCATGTTGTTTCAGAAACAAAAATGTTCCCATATCTCCATTTCATGTCTTGTCTGTTTGGTACAAAGAGCACAGATCTTTCTAGCAGCAGCCCCTGGTTATCAGATAATTTTTAGTAACCCTGTAGACAACTGTAAAGTCAAAACTGGTATGTAGGAAGCCCAGATATGCAGCATAGTATGTTACTGCTCCCCCATCACTCTCAGCACGTTAAGCTTTCATTCCTACCACTGGAAATGGGGAAAGATGCAATCTTCTTATGCAAACAAACCCTTTCTTTGTGGAAGGAAAAGTTTTATACTTTGAGCTGTTCAGTCATCTGATGTGTCTGAAATTCTGGTACCTTTATAAATATAACTCTCACCAGCAATGTTTTGTTAATTTCTTAAGTTCTGTGCATCTCATGTTTGTTTTAGGCATACAAGAACCATTGCTATGTTTGTTCCAGAGTCTACATCTAGGCTGCAGAAGTTTACAAGGTAATAATTAAAGACTTTTTTTTTAAGTCTATCTTGCTCTTAGTCACAGAGGTATATCCAGCCACTCACTGGTGCATACATGTTAATACTTTGTATCATCAGCAGATGGCTTTGTAGGTAAAATCATGTTTGTAGGTGTCTAGGTCTTTTGAAGAGCTTTCTTAAAACAGTTAACTACCTGCCTGAAGTAATGCTAACCTGGCTTTTTTTCATCCTCACATTTGAACACTGTTGGTTTGAAAAAAAACTCATTTCAGCAGAGCAGGCTGATACATGAGTTCCTGTAGAGTGGCAGCTCCACGTTCCACAGGTTGATTCGTGTCTGTGATGTGACTTGCAGAGGTGCTACTTAGACTCATTTTCCTGAGCATTTTAATTGTCACTGGACTCTAAAGAGGTAGGCTGCAGTCAGTCCATCCCTAAATCTTACTGCAGCTCAGGGCTTGTCTTGAAGGATAGCCACATTAAGAGCAACCTGGAAAGCAAAGGCAGAACATGGAAAATGAAGTCTCAGTTCTACTTTTTATTCCATCTGGAATGCCTTTGCTATAATAAACTTTGTTACATACACACCTGTTCTGAAGTAGCAGTCTATACACAGCAACTGAGGGTATTAAGGTTTTTTCCTTCCATTTTATTAAGTACAGTCTGAATTGGTTTATGGTTGTGGATTGCCTGTACCAACGGAGCCACCCTTGCACAGAGCCAGCCTTGTGGCACTTGAGCACTTTGGGTCAGACTCAGCATGGGAATGTCTATGCCCAACAGTCAGGATTCAACTGATTTACTTTTCTTCTCTTTTTGATACCCTTTTTGTAGAATCTACACTCTAATTGGTACACTTTTGTATTCTGTGCACCTATGATGTATTCAAAGTATCCCACCCTCTCTGTCACTCCAGGTAATCAAGAGTTGAACCAGTTTCAAAAAGATCTTTGCCACAGAAAGATTCTGTCTAGGCCAGAGATAACTTGTATTTATCATAATGTGTATGAAATTGGTTTCATTTTTTTCCTCAGAGAGACAAAACTTATCTTTGATCAAAGTACACCAGCAATAAAGTGAATCAGTCTTCAAAACTCTCTACTGCAAACAGAAGCTGGGAGCCTCATTAAACCCCACCTTTGTTTTTTTAGCATGCATATAATGAACTCTATCAAATCTAAACACTAGTGAATATATACAGTTAATGATTTTCTATTTTCTTCTCTGAGCTGGTTCACAGGGAGACGTCCGGAATTTACTGACCCCAGAGTGGTGGCACAGGGAGAGGGAAGAGAAGGTAAGTCCCTCAAGCTCCTGACAGCAACCCTTGCACAACAGCAGGCCCCAGCTCAGCCATCCACCTTCCGCTGATAAAAGAGACTTGTCCTGCTGAGTCCAACCTGGATACGTGAGGAGTTCAACAACTACTCAAAAACCTCTCTTAACCACTTCTATTGACATCTGCTTTCTTCTAGTAACAAGGGTGCGATCTCAAGGCTTTGTGACCATTTCCTTCAACGTAGTGACCAAAGATATGAAGAAGCTGGGCTACGACGTGAGCCCAGGCGACATGCAGAACCCTTCTCTGGTGCCTGTTATGGAAGGGATTCATAAGTATTGAACTCAGGCATAAGATGTTCAATGGCTCACCGAGATGTTAAGTACTTCAGGGCTTTTTGTGGCAAAGAGAAATGAGTATCTGACTAAACTGAGAAAATTTCACTTTATTCCAAAAGAAACACAAGCCCAGGAGGCTTTGGAATAATTAGCTAAGTATAATCCTTTCAGTAAGCAGGTTGAAGGATTATGTAAATTAATGTCATGAGATAACATTTAGCATTTTTATGAGTAATATTAGACTGTCTCAAAGTAAGACCTGTAACAAAATATTTTTTATAACAGCCTTTTGTAGACTCTTTATATACTTAAAAAATAGGAAAGTTCATACTTGTAGCTGGTTTTGTGTGTTTAAAACATCATTGCAAACCCAGTTCTTACATATATTATATAATTATAAAAGAAATATTATAATTATATAATGGTTTTTGTGGTAGAAATGGGAAACTGAAATTATTACACCTTCCAAAAAGGAGGGAATATGGAACTGTCCCAGTGAAATGCACACATACTTCTCTGTGCCACGCACTTCCCTCTGCAAAAGCAACAGCAGTTTTCTTTATAATCCCACATAGTCCTTTAGAGTGTGTGCAGCTAGTTCAAATAGCTGCAGAAACAAACCTTTCCATGTTTTCCAGTGAAGCAACCTTTACATTTAGAACAACATGATGACTCTTCCATTTCCAGATTTTATTCCTGCATTAAACTTCAGGAAGGAGGGGAAAAAAAAGAGCAGTTTATTTTAGAGGAGTGAGTTAGAGAAACTGTGGTGTTAAACATACCCTTGTTGCCTGGTTTTAACTTCTGGGAGAACAAATTGCATTTTAAGTGCAGATATTGACTAAAAATTAAACTTTAGAGAAGGCTCTGCAGAGAAGGCGGGGTGTAAGCCAGCTGTGTGTGCTGTCACGAGCCGCGTTCAGCTCCAGGTCGGGTGCCAGAGGCACTGTGCTGCATCCTTCCAGCCAGGACCTTGCACAGATAACACACCGTGGCTTTCCTTAGCTGGTTTTATCACCAAAAGGCAGTAAAAAAAGCAACACGGGGATGTTCAGGTTTGCTACACTCAGGTTTTCTTTCCCCTTGCATCACCTCTGAGCCGGACGCAAACGATGGTGGTTGGGGGTGACGGGAGCTCCAGAGCTGCTCGCAGATGGTCGCCCTCGGCCTGAAGAGCTTCTCCCTCTGTGTCCTGCTGTGGCCTCTCAGTGAATCGCCCTCAGAGCAACTGGGAGTGCTCTTCTTTGAGGCTGAATAAACCCCATTGTCTAAATACATTTGTTTGTCTTCCTAGTGCTAGGGCTTTTATGTGTTTGTGCCAGAATGGATGTTTCTAAGTCCTCAGTCATCCAAGATCTACTCTTCTTCCAGGTACAAAAGAGAAAGAAGCCCATGCTACACTAAAATGTCTAATTGCTTTGTCATTTTCATATTTAAATTTGGGCATGTCATCTCTTGTGTTTGACTGCAACTAGAGGGGGATGGCTGTGAGAATGACTTAACACGATACCACCCTGGAAGCGAACTATCAGAACCTTGAAACTGTAGAAATACAAGTGGTAACACACAGTGTTGAACTGCAGAGCCTCCAGGACAGGCATCAAACAAAGCAGCCAGTTAGAGATAGTTATTATTTCATGCTGAGCAGTGTGAATGAATAAATATAATTTCTGAAAAGATAATGTGATCACTGTAATTTCACTGTGCACATTAGCAGCTTTTCTACTATTTATACTTTTCCAAACATGGTTACAGATGATTTTTCATCTCTATTTTTTTCCTATCTTGTTTTTGTTGATTCTACGCTTCCAGTAAGCAATTCCACCAGTTGTTTTGGCAACTGTTGTAATCTCTCAACTGAGTCATGTTGGAATCCAAATTAGTAAGTATTTCCTGTTGGCTCAGAGGACACGCAAGGAATTTTGTTTCCTTTTCAAAAGTATTTGGGAAGCAGTTATCTACAGTAGCAGGATAAAAATCTGTGTTTGAAATACTTGAAAGACAAACATTAAACCTACTACCGCTTAAATATCTTTTTTCCCTTGAGCTCGGTTACCTGCCCCCATTCCAATTAGAGCAAAACTGCACAACAGAGTTTCTCGTCATGAGAAACCTGTTAAACCCAGACAGAGCCCAAACTTTGTGCCCACAGGGGTGCAGTGAATTTACTCACACACAGCTTTGCAGCATGGTTCTACAACTGATCTCCTGAATTGCTTGTTTCACACAAGTAGTTGGACGCTTACCACGCCGAGACCCATCAACACCAACTGGTGCGTTTGCACAGCTTCACTGTTCACAGCTGAGCTGCAGAGACCCTCAGAAGATAGGTTAAAACAGTGAAAAAGCAAGGGTTTTTTTAAAAAAACAAAACAAAACAACCTCAAACCCCATAAAACAGTATTTAAGATATGTGGCTCTGTCAGCAGATCCCATGCTGCTACCTGTATTATTAGGGCTTTCTGGCTACTGTGTCTGGATTTGGTGAGGTTTGGGGGCTTTTCTGACTCCTCATTGTCTCAAGCATGTTTGTTAAGAGCCTCATATACCTTCTTCAAGGCCTTAAAACTGTTTAGCTTACCAGCGCTTTGCTGCGGGAGCTTTTGCCCCTTCCCCAAGGGCACGTGTGGGGTGATGTTTTCAGTAAGCGCTTCCCGAGTTCAATGCTGCTCCTTTGTTCCAGGAGGCATCTGTTGATACCTCGTGTAAACACACTCCTCCCAGGGACAGGCTCGCTGCTGCCTTTATAATTTTCTGGAAAACTGCCTTTGGTGCTCAGGCGTGGCAGAGATTTTGCAGCTGTTTCACCCTGGAGAGAACGTCTGCTCTGACAACGGGAGTAAAGACAGACACAATGCTGTGCTGCGAGAGCGGGTGACACGAATAAGGAAGGGATTTATGACCCGTAAGTGGTCGCTGCAGTTAAAGGTTAAAAGAACCCACACTGTAAGAACAGTCAAAACCCAGAAAAACTCAGCCTTACTGTAGTGGAGTCTCAAAGTAATTTCCTTTTGCCCACTCTCCAGGCAGCTGTAACCACCCTGCTCATTTCCTAGTTAATCATTCTCCCTTTTATTCAAAACTGAAGTTCCAAACCCCTGGTAGCAGTGTGAGGCTGTCAGCTGGTGCTGTACCTCCCGTTTTGTTACGCTTAAGTCTCTCCCAGACAGTGAAATTGGCCATTAACCTCCTAACTCAAGACAGGCAGGGGAAAAAAAAAAAATCTTTATTCAGAACATGTGTCCTGACACAGGATGAGGCTTCAAGGCCATCAAAGCAGACGGGCACGAGGAGAATGGAGCCTGCAATAGTTGGGGACTTTTTTGCAGAAATCCTCCTCTGCTCTCCTGCTCGGGGGGGGCTCTGGGCAGAGCTGCCCAGCAGGACCCCACCTGCTTCACAGGACAGTTTTCCTGCCCTCACTGGGAGGGAGACAGCCAAGGACATGGACTGAACAACACCTTAGGAATCAAACCCTCCAGAAAAAGGAAAATTGGTTGGATAGTCCTCCGGACCTGTATTTGCAGCCCTTTCTACCAAAGCTAGAAATAGCAACATCAGCTCCTGCCCTCTCGTGGCAGTATTCAACCTTTAGGCAGATGTTGGAGGTTGCTAATGACAATCAATTAACAAGGTTGCATGAAGGACACCTGAGTGTTATCCTGTTCCTCCATGAAAATTGCTCAATGGAATGGTACCAGCTGTCCTGCCACTGCCCCTTGTCCTGAGAGCACGGGGCAAATACCTCCCAGGGCCACAAGCCACCCGAGGCAAACATCTCCCAGGGCCACAAGCCACCCCAGCTGCCTTGTGGAGAGCGGGACTGAGCTGGAAATCTGTGCATCAGCAAGGGCTCGAGAAACTGCCTTTGTCCCAAGGCTAGCAAGGGTGATTTACAACAGCAGTATTGCAGCAGCTAGAAGTTATTTCCATGTGAAAATGAGCGTCTCGAAGATGGATTAAAGCTGACAGCAACTGCTCCCCAGCAGCAGTGTTGGTTTAAGAGCAGGAGCCTCCCGTGAAATACTCCAAATGGTGAAAATTAAAAAAAAATATAAGCAGCAAAGCCACAGAAGTACAGAAGAGGCAGATTTGAAGAAAATTGGAGCTTCAGCTCCAGCTCTACCTGGGCTCATCACAGCATCAGCAGTGACAGAGCTGGGCTTGCACCCACAACTGCAACACGAGGCAGCTGTCTGCCACTGGCCAGGCACCCCCAGCTCCCCAACATCCGGGGGACATCAGGCCCCACCAGCAAGAACCACCTTCCTCTGGGCCTTCTCCCTTTAATCCAGCAGTGCCAGTGGATGGCACCGAGCAGCAGCCGATGAGCAGGTGTCTGCAGCCCCTGCAGGACATCCCCAGGGTGTCCCTCAAACACGCTCCAGGAACCAAAACCCCCCCTGATAGCACTAGGAATCCCCCCTTTTGCACCCACCACCCAGCCCAGCTGGAGACTCGAGGTCCAGGCACACAAGCCTCTGCCAGCGGCACATCTGGAGCTGCCACCAACAGCCATTTTGAACATCTTCCAGGCCCTACAACCCCCCGAACAGGAACACAGCAAAGAGCTGAGCAAAGGCTGCCCGGCCCGCATCCCCACAAGGGATGTTCAGCCCCTTTGCTCCACTTGCCATCCATCCACGGGGTGCGTGCTGCAGAGGGGATCCCAAAGGTTTTTTTCTACCAGCTGGGGGGGGTCCTCTAGGAGACAAACGTGGGTAAGCTCAAACCCCAAGTGCTGAGGCACTCAGGGGTGTTTGAAAATCCAGAAACAACCTCCACCTTTGGAGCACAGGAAGGAAAAAAGCCACAAATCTACAGCTCCCACCAGCCTGCAGAGAGAACCCAGCACCCTCCACTGCAGCATAAGAGGGCTCAGCTTGAGACAACACATCTCCAGGGCCTGGCCATCTTCAGGGCACAAATCCTGTTAGAAACCATCTTTTGGCCACCAGAACCAGGGCTGAGCCCCGGGGAGGGAAGCTGCAGAGAAGCAAGGGTGCAACGCAACCTGCTTTCACGGCAGGGTGCAAGTGATTCAGTCTCTCGTCCTTCAGAGGGAAGATCAGCAGAAGCATCTAACTGCTGTAGGTTTCTATTTTTATACCTCTATTCAGGCCAAGATATTTAAGTACCCAAATTCACCTCGGAGAATATAACTACATTTAGTGCCAGACTTGCTAATGAAGATGTTAAAAAAGCAAAAACACCCCACCACCATCACCCAACACAACCCCAGCCAGCCCACGGTCTCCTAGGCCATCTGTGCTGTTACACCAAGGCAGAACCATCTCCCTTCAGCTTGGTTAAACCACCAAATTTCATTCCCCAGCCAAAAAGCCCTTCAAGAAGAACACAGACCCCACTGCCGCACTGTCACAGGTTCCATGTTCCCACCCTGGTGGGGCACAAGCAAAGTGTCTATTTTCTGTCTTAAAAAACTACCAGCGGTGGTTCAGCCACAGCACTGTGGGCAACCCCCACGTGACAGCACGGCTGGTGGGACAAGTCCACGCTGGGTCAGCATCTCATGGAGGCCGCTCAGCCCTCACCTCCACCTGCTCCAACAGCCCGGTGCGAAGTTCTCCGCCGGCCCCCGCCTAACCCAGCTCTGCGGCACGTGCCACAGGCCGTCACAGGCCCGGGAGAGCCACTGGTTTCACAAAGATGTCGTGAGGCAGCTGTGTCGGTGACTACGAAAGGCAATTTCTTTGCTC